ACTATGCTAAAAAAAAAAAAAAAAGAAAAGAGATTTAAGAAAACAGGAAAACAAAAGAATCCATTTTAATATAAACGGCCAAGTAACGTATAGGTCCACAATTTCTTCTTTATAATTTTTGTAAACCCAAGGAAGGCTCCAGAAAACTGAAAGACTTCTGCAGAAGTTTAGAGCAAACTATTGATGGGCAAACCTGACCCGAACAGATCAGGGCACTGAGTCTTCATGCTCACTCATCAGCGTTTTGCTGCAGAAACCCTAGCTGGCTGTCTGATGACACGAGACCAGCTGGAAGTGTTACTCTTTCGAGCAATCCTGACAAGAATCAAGGCTTCGTGGGATCCAGGAGAGGGACCGGGGGTCATTTCTCTCCAAGCTCTGTTCAGCCGAGTAGGCCATCATGCGCAACAGGAGCCTGGGCCAGGGCTTGGGACACCGAGGACAAGCTGGTCTCCACCTGATGGCCTACCCTATGCCAGAAGCGCACACCTTGCATGTCTGTGGATTTATATAGGAGGTGGCCAGAGAAGGACGCCATACCTGGTGTTACGGTGAATCTGGGATCTTGTCTCCTAGTTGATAACTCTAACCCTCCACAAGGACCGGTCACTGTTTCATCGCCTACGGCGTCGTGTGGTGTGACCATGTGTCTAGATTAAAATGTCATCTAGGTTAGATGAGCTGCAGAAATTATCTGGCTAACTATTACTTCAGCCGCCCAGTGAAAATACTCTCATGTGATAACAATTAGGTTAATTAGAAAAAAAATCAAATACTGCATTATCACAAAATCTTGCACATTCCGAAAACGTAATTTCCTGGTAACGGCCTTCCCGATTTCTCAATGACCGTTTTATCTAACGTAAAGCTTCAGTGTTGGAAACGTTTTTTTATAATACATGTTCAAAAATAACTATATCAACCATTATCGAACTGGAGACCACGCGGGCACCGGTGTGAACTCAGACCCCACGGCCCACACCATAACTGGAGACCACGCGGGCACCGGTGTGAACTCAGACCCCATGGCCCCAACCGTAACTGGAGACCACGCAGGCACCGGTGTGAACTCAGACCCCACAGCCCGCACCGTAACTGGAGACCACGCGGGCACCGGTGTAAACTGAGACTCCATGACCAGCACCATAACTGGAGACCACACGGGCACCAGTGTGAACTCAGACCGCACGGCCCGCACCGTAACTGGAGACCATGTGGGCACCAGTGTGAATTCAGACCCCACAGCCCACACCATAGCTGGAGACCACGTGGGCACCGGTGTGAACTCAGACCCGACAGCACCTGCCTGGGCTGCTCCAGCCACCACCAGAACCTGTTCTGCAGCTGAACTGGAAGCTGATTCTGGAAGGAACTGAGGAGCATGAGGACGAGATCCTTCTACCTCAACAGGGATCAATTTTTTAAATGATTTCTTTCTTTTAGAAAACTGTTAATAAAATACTTTGCTCTAAAATGACCAGGATTTCAGCAGCCTCTACATTCCTTCATGTCAATCAAAGCTTAGGCACATGGGTTACTTCACTGTTCGCGACACCCTTTCCAAATAAAACCCGGGGCCGCCTGTGTACCCAAGAGCCTGGGCCCTGAGCATTCAGAGAAAACGTCCAGGGCAAGAGCGCTGACGTCCCAGCGGTGAGGTAGAGTGGATGGGGGGAGTTCCAGCCACAGATGGCCACGCCTCCCCTGCCTCCGGCCAGTGCCCACTGCTCACGCACTCCTTCCTCGGCCCATCCTGAGCCACGGGGCCCTCGCATAACCAAGGCCACTGCGGTACCTCCAGGAACAAACTGGTTACAGGTGGACTGCTCTCTACGCAGGGTGCAAAGATTGTTTTTAAAACTGCTCGGCTCAGGAACTTATCCCAGTAACAGGCTAGATTAAGAAAACTGACTAAAAACAGTAGAAAGAAAAACTCACTCTATCCACTGAGGCAAGAGAAATGCACACGGCCTCTGAAATAACTGCAGAGGAGTTTTCCTGGGTTAGGTACGCGGTGGGGTGACCCTACCCCATAGACGGCACGTGGTGGGAACCGAGGAACATCTCCGAATAAAAGCGGGAAAATGCACTCAACTCCCAAACAGAGAGAGAAACTGCTTTTTTCATTAAAAGCTTCTCTCTTTTATTCTCAGAAAGACTCTCTTTGGTGTCTTGACTGCTGAAGGGACAAGCCTGTCATACCCAGAGAGCAGCCCTGGACAGTCTCCAGATCCTATGGCCCTCAGGTCCACCTTGCCTACTGATGATCCCACATTACGAAACCTGATCATCAGAAAGAGCCTCCCAGTCCGCAGCTCACAAGTGGCACTTTATTCAGGGAAACGCTAATAAAAACCTCAGGCTCCGCGTAAATGCTGTCCCCTAGGTACCAAGGCTCCACACAGATGGCACACAGGGAGACAGGCCTCACCCCTTCCTGGCGCCCCAAGTCTCTCCTGACATTTTATTAGCTGCGTTTTGTGGTGGTTTATTACTTTTAACCTGCCTGTCCAAGGCAGCTGCACTAAACTACTTGTCCAGGGCAGATGCACTCATAATGACCATCAGCTCAGAGTTGGAAGTAGCACTGGAGAATGACGCAGTTTCAGGGCACTACACTTCCCTGCCCTCTTTTCCAGAGATGCCAAGTAAGTTTCTGCCGTGGCTGATGATGTCAGTACTACACTAACATTAGTTCAACGGCAGGCCACCAATCAATACTTAATGAACAATGTCCTTAAGAGCGAAACCCCATCTCTACCAAAATACAAAAAATTAGCTGGGTGTGGTGGTGAGCGCCTATAATCTCAGCTACTGGGGGGCTGAGGCAGGAGAATTGTTTGAACCCAGGAGGCAGAGATTGCAGTGAGCCAAGATTGCACCATTGCACTCCAGCCTGGGCAACAAGAGCGAGACTCCATCTCAAAAAAAAAAAAAAAAGAAAGAAAGAAAGAAATGATTCTAACGACACTGTCAACATCTTCAGTTCTTCCCAAGGGTAGCGTAAAATTCACACACACAATGTAAAGCCAATTAGATCAACATTCTGTCCTCACCAATCCATACCTAAATCCTTATTTCAAATTGGCCCCCAATTTTTCAGAATTTAAGAAGACTGAGAGGAATAACCACGAACAAGCAAGGTTTACGCAGACGTCAGTCTTCCCAACTCTCGCTCAGGAACTCACCCCAAACTCCTCCTGTGGAATCAGCCTGGGTAACAGTCCCTGGTGGCCGCACAAGAAAAGAGGGTTCCACAAACCCACGACAGACCCCACCCTCCAGGCCCAGGCAGAGGAGGGAGGCGGACGGTCACGAAGCCGGAAAAGCAGGGAACTGTGATTCTTCTGACTTAATGTAGGCGATTGGGCCAAAAAACAAGGCACATCCACCTGTGAATGGGGTGAGCTCCCAGCTGGCTGCGCAGAGGCTGTAGATATGAAGGAACTCGCTTCCCTGCACACTGAAGTCCATCAGCGTCTCCACATCGGCTGCACCGGGGCTCTGCTCGCCCCTCACAGACTAGGATGACAGTGGCAATGTCTGGACAGAATGTCAAGGACGGATGGACAGACATCCTGGACAGACACTGTACAGAGACCAGGGGCTAGGCAGGGGGAAGCGGCAAAACCTTGAGGCCAGCAGGGGCGAGGCCAGGAAGGCTCGGTGAAGGCCTGCATCTCCTCATCCAAAAGAAGCAGGAGCGGCCACCCAGTGTGGGCTGCAGCTGCGGTGAAGTGGCCAGGGGGACACAGCAGGAGGCCGGGGCTAGCCCTGCCCCCAGCCCGGGAGGAGGGGCCCAGCTGCGGGCACTGCCTCAGAAGCCAGCATCCTGAGTCCCCAGGGAAGGCAGGAAATTGCCCCTGGGCACTGGGCGCTCAGGCTGGAGGCGGTGAGACCTCGAGGCCCTGCAGTCGGGGAGGCGAGGGCAGAGGTGGCCAAACTGAAGCTCAGTGAAGGGCTTTGTCAGGAAAGGACCCCAGAGGCTGCCTCACCAGCCCGGGGGAGGTTACTCCTGGCCCAGAGGCTCAAGAGGGCCCTCGGCGGTGACGCTTAACCTTGTCCTCTGACAGAGGACCATCGAGACAGAGTCACTCAAACCTCTGCCAAGCTCTGCACCAAGTGAAGCTGTTACCACAGACGCTGAGGCAGGCAGTGCTCATCTCAAATCTGTACAAGTGGTTTCTTTAGCCAGTTGTCCAAATTCTTAATGACAAACCACACTAAACGTGTGTTTTCAGTATCACCTATGCTCATAGCTATGTATAAAATAACGATCACCAGGAAAACTAGGTGGTGAACCCAGGAGGAGGAAATCCCCACGGCCAGTGGAGAGAACACCAACGGACCGTTGGCTCTTCCCGGCTGAACCCAAGAGCGCTTGGCTGGGCTCACTTCCGTTCTAATTTCCAGATTTATTTTTACTTTCTCACAATTTCATTATGAAAATGTTCAGACATATTTAAAAAGTAGAAGAACAGTACAACGAGTGGTCAAGTTTTCTCCACGCGGAGCTCCAACAACTGCTAACATTTCGTTAGATTTGCTTTCTCACTCTCTCTGTAGATCAGACGGAGAGACAGATTTGTTTCTCCTCTGGAGCCACTTGAAGGTGAGAGGCTCCTGCTGCCTCACCGAGTCCTCAGGCACACATTCCCTAGGAATAAGGGCCCCTCTGCAGCCGCAGTACCATCATTGGCAGACAAGAACGATTTCAGAGCATCGCTGTCCAGGTTATGTTCAGGTAGCACAATCGTCCCGAAAACGTCTTTTCTATCCGGGCCACACACTGCGCCGAGTGACTCTCCTTCCCCGTCTTCATCAGGGACAGCCTCGCACCCCTTTTATCTGTGATCTTCACTTTTCGAGAGTCCGGGGCCATTGTCCTGCAGAATATCCCCTACCCCAGAGGCATCTGTTTCTAGGGCCATCATTAAATTCCCTACTATGCACCTCCATTCCCTGTAAACAGGAAGTTTCAGTCTCAAGGCGCGATCACCTTCTGTCAAACGCATCTCGGCAGCTTCCGGGTGAGGCTGCTGGTTCACGAGGGGCGCGAGCTCCTACTCCTGGTCACTGACGGCACGGCCGCGACCAGCACCACACCCCGAATCAGAAACGTCTGGAGGGGCCGCGGGCAGCCGAGACACCTCCCTAGAAAGTATCTGAAGCCAGAAAGTACGACAGAAAATTCACAACCTGCCTTCGTCCACCCAGGCTGCTCTAACAACACACCACAGGCTGGATAGGGGCTGGCAAACGACACAAGTTCATTTCTCACAGCTCTCAGTCTCAGTCTCAGGCTGGGAAGTCCACGCCTGACAGGTTTGCCTGGTGAGGGCTTCCTGGTTCATAGACGGCGCCTTCTCGCTGGGTCCACACACCGTGGAAGGAGCGAGGGAGCTCTCTGTAGTCCTTTTTGAGGGCACAAATCCCATTTATGAGACCCTCACGACCTCCTCACCGCCCAAAGCTCCCCCTCCTAGCACTATCTCCTCGCAGGTGACGTTTCCAACTTGTGAATCTTGGGGAGACACAAACATTACAAAAGCCCATCACTTAATTTTTTTTTAAGGCATTTTTGCTTCTACAAAGTCTCAAGATAAAATGAAAAGAGAGAGGTCTGAGTCAATCCACACAGTTCTCCCAAAAGGGCAAGTGATCGATTGCCACCACTTTTTATCCGAGACCCGCTGGGTGCCCCGGTCTGCATGACTGATTCTAAATCACCATCCTCTCCTCTGCCACTCAGAGGTCAGAGTCAGTCCAGAGCTTAACACCAAGGCAGAGCTGACTGAATGACACCAGCTAATCCAGTAAGACAAGCCAAGACTCCTGCCCAAGGCCTAATCCCTCCCCCAGGGAAACGTGGAAGGGCCAGACGCCTGGCAGCCCTTCCTTCCTGCTCTAAAGCCTCAGAGACACAGCCCCGGCCAGGCCTGAGCCTCGGGCAACGCACAGTAATGTCAGCTGGGCACCGAGTCTGAGAACATGTTCTCAAGTAAAAATGAAAACAAGACTGCTGAGAAAAGTTCATGCTTAATCACCTCTGGGCTAAATTCTAAATGCAATGTTATTTCAGAGCTAAGTGGAAGTAATTCCTTAAAAATATATATGAACAGTGACTAGCAACCCGGGCGATAAGTACTCAATATGTTTGATGAATAAATGAATTTTTAAAATTTATGGAAAGAGCACGCTCCATTTAGGAGAATTCTATTTAATTTGACATCCTAACTATACAGTGGTTCCTTTGTGCTGACAGCAAAGTTTGCTTCAGTTAACTCAAAAAATGGTAAGTCGCTCTAACAGAAAACCAAAAGGCTTTACAGAGAGTCAAATTATGGTGCCAATTCAACTGTGCATGGCAATTTCACCTTAATATTTAAATTCTCGAAGCACCATACTCAGAAAACAAGACATAACAAACATAAATGCATCGCCTAAAGCAGCATCATCTAGAATTTGACAAAGTTTGACTGTGAGTTTCAAGAAAAGGGCTGACGAGGCCAAGAAGTTCCTTCCCCTCTCCCCTTACCTCCCATTTTGGTGACCAACTTAATGCAGAGAAATTCCTGTTTCAGGTTTGCAGACATTGGAACAATCCTGGTATCTATTCCCCCAAGACACCAACAGGCTGAAGTCTGCAGGGTGCACATATTGAAAATCACAGGAGCACTGGAGTGGCGGAAAGAGGTGCCTGTGAAGACGTCATCCTTTCCAAGACAGGCTCTGATTCCGCCTCCGGGCCCTTTTGCAAAAAGCCATTGGTACAAATTCATAGTCACCAGGAGGAAACACGCAAAAGACCCCACTGCCCTCCCGGCTTCCCAGAAGACCTCAGAAGGATGAGACATAGAGCCCGCACGCAATCCTGGACCCTTCTCCCTGCATTCAGTTTGACGTGTGCCACTTGCTTGAGAGACGGAGGTCCCACAATGGGCACAAGGGGATCCGTCAGGTCAGGAGGGTGCTGCCCGGCTCACGGTCCACACATGGGGACCTGTCAGGTCAGGATGCCCGGCTCACGGTCCACACATGGGGACCCCTCAGGTCAGGAGGGTGCTGCCCAGCTCTCAGTATCAGCCGCACATGCACATTCTCCACTGAAGCCACTGAATGAAGCCACTGCTTGAAGCCACTGCATGATGCCACGCTGGAAGCACTTTCTATCAGGTTTAGGAAGCTCGTGTCCAAGGTCATTAAACACAGGGCAAGCTCGCCTTGGAGGCATTTTACTTTGCTTATGACAATGAAGCATTCTCATTGCACTGAAGAGAGCACGCTTTCTTGTCCACTGCCTCTTTGAAACAGGCATTCTGTGCCCGTTTTACAGATTACATCAAGGCCCTAATACACATAGACCCTTGTCTCAGGTACACACAAAGCAGCGGCATCACTAGAACGTGTTTTGGACCACGGGAGGAAGCCAAATCGCAGCATTATCCATTGATGCTGCTTAAAGTGTATTTCCAAATGTGTCTCCCGAGCCCGGCCTGTGTTCACGGCTTCCGCTGACCACACGGCATCTGCTGGGCACTCTGCACACTTTCTCCCACACCCGCCACGCCTGTGGGCCTGTGCCTGTCCCTCCACGCGTGAGCACCTACCACGTGGCTAACGCACACCTCCCACAGGCGGCAAGTGCCTGAACATTCCCACGGCTGGTGGCCGGGTAGGCTCTACAGGACCCACAGACAGGCATGGCCGCCCCGCCCACGGCCACCAGAGGCTTTGCTTTGTCTCTAGAGGTGCCCTTCGATGGGGCGACAGGGCAAATGGCCCAGTGTTAGATAATTAAGACTCAGGAAATCACGGCGGCCTTACCTTTAGAACTCACCTGTCTCCCCAGCACTACACCGCGAAGGGTGGGTCACCAGAGCTGGGGAAGAGATGCCCAAGGCTCCCTCCCACTCTGACAGCCTCGGACACTGCTCCCCTCTGTTGGTTTCTCACCGCACCTCAATAAACTGAGCTCACAGCAAGAGGCGGGCATGGCCTGAGTAGAAACACACAGCAGACCCCCCGGGTGCGCACGACGGAGGACAAGGGGGCGCGCGGGGACGAGGGAGCGCGCCGGGAAGAGGGTGCGCGCCGGGAAGAGGGTGCGCGCCGGGAAGAGGGTGCACAGGCCCCGAGAACCTGGTGGCAGCAAGGCGGGTCAAGGCTGAACTCCAACAGAGGCAGCAGCAACGGTGCTGGGCAAGCCACAGAGAAAGCCCCACCCAGAGGGGCTGCATGAACCAGCAGCGACCCCAACCCAACGTGCTCATCGGACACACGCACACTCACACGCACACGCTGTGGACACGTGTGAATACGTTCCAATTAACGTGATGCTACCTAATAATCAACAATGTTAACCCCACCACTTCATTACATGGCATCTGGCACATTGAACTTGATTCTGTCTCCCTCCTATGTTCCAAAAGTGGAAATTGACCAATCTCACAAGAAATTACTGTAATGGCGCAAAAAAAAAAAAAATTGCCTCCCTCACCTTGGAGGATCTCAAGCAACATCATCTTTTGAGTCACGTTGCCGCTCCTCCGACCCCTAGGTGGTCTGCAACTGACAGGAATCCCCAAATGGGCAGTTTTGAGGCCAGCACGACACCAGGCCCATGTATCCAGGCATCCTTGCAGGTTGTCCTACATCGGCGGTCACCAACCCCTTGCACTAGATCCGCCCAGGAAGGAGCACCGCCCGCCATCGTCCACTGTCCCAAAGTACATCTCCTGCCCCGCTGCACTGCTGTTCGCCTGCCTTAAATCCCCCAAGGCATCCTTAAAGTTGACGTTTCTCCACCCAGCCCTCGCATTGAAGATGATACTCAGATACTCCTCCTCTCGCCACCTGTCCATACCCGGAGAAAGGGAACCAGATCTCAGCTTGATTTTGCCAGTCCCATGCGAAAAACAGTCAGCAGCACGTGCACACACTTTACCGTTAAAAAAAAGAAACGAATGTGAAACGCGCAATACGCTGGCAGCAAAGTTTCTACTCCCGCTCCGACAGGAAAGCAGTACCAAGTTGGCTCGCGCCTCTTGTCTCCTTGGTGCGGCAGTATAAAGCATGTGTTGTGCGAGTAGGGAAATGCCCGTGTGTGAATGTCGCGGAGAATTCGAGGGTCGGGGACATTGCAAAAACCCCGTCCTCTCAACAAAATACGAAAATTAGCAGTGTCGGTATCATGCCTGTTCCCAGATTACTCAAGGGCTAGGCGAGCGGATCACCTGCGTCCGGAGGCACAGAGTCTGGCAGGGAGAAAAGAATTACGCCACTGCACGCCAGCCTGGAGACAGGGTGAGGACCTATATTTATAAAAAAAAAAAATGATACATAATGATAAGAAATATACGGAGACCATAACATTCTAAATAGTTGCTAGTACCTAATTTGAAATCTTTCCAGATATGAGGAAGGAATCATTTTTCTTCCTACACCATTCTAAGAAACATTTCTATTTTTCTGCTATAACAATTTGGTACCTTCCATCCGCAGATCCTGGCCTCTTTAAGTAGCGACTTGCTGGTGTGCCAGCAAAGCCAGCGCTCTGAAAACCTCGAAGGGTCCATCAACCACGCTGGAGGAGGCAGGTGCAAGGATTGCTGGCGGCCTCCATTCTCCAAAAGCTCACACTGGGTGTGGGGCAGGCTCCGGGTCAGGCAGGGGTTTGCACTTCTAAGCAATTCCCGTCTAGGGCCACAACCAAACCCTAAAACACGCCATCTCATCTAATGCAATACCAGAGGGATGAAGCCACGTGGGGGCAGGTCACCAGAGCAAGTGTCCAGGCACCAGGTCACCAGTTGCTATTTAATGCAAAAACCCCGTCAAACAGACTTAAGTCAAAATTTCACCTCCTGACACACATTGGCCAACACAGCCAGTGATAAATGCCACTGGCTGTCTAGACCGTTCTGCTCACTTGACGACCAGCAATGCCTGAAACATCAAGCCTGAGGGTGTGTTGCCCACGGTCAGGGCTCTGACACCCCGCGTCCCAGGCCATCAAGGCACATGGGTGTCCTTCACCGAGGCACTGGGGTCTCACGACCACCAGCACGCTCAAACTTCTGGGACGGCAAACACCCTTTCAGGCCCTTCATGCATTGTACCCTATAGCAGCTGGTTCAAGGGAGGCTAATTTAAGTAAGAACATGTAATACAGGACATCCTGTGAACTCTTCCTCCATATCCACGGTGGGCCTCCAGAAACAGAAATATTAAAAAGAAAAAGAAAGATTTAAGAGTTCAATACCTACAGGGCCGGTGCAGTGGCCCATGCCTGTAATCCTCAGCCACTTGGAGGCCAAGGCGGCGATCACATGGGGCCAACGTTTAAGACCAGGCCGGACCAAGCAGTGAGCAAAATCCTGTTCTACTAAAAATACAAAATCAGCCCAGCATGGTGGCACATGCCTGTAATCCCAACTACTTGGGGGCTGGAGGCAAGAGAATTGCTCGAACTGGGAGGCAGAGGTTGCAGTGACTGGACGTTGCAGTGAGCCAAGATCGTGCCACTGCACTCCGACCTGATGACAGAGCAAGACTCTGTCCTCAAAAAAACACAAAAACAGGCCAGGCGCGTGGCTCGCACCTGTAATCCCCAGCATTTCAGCGAGGCCGAGGCGGGCGGATCAAGTGTCAGGAGATCGAGACCATCCTGGTTACACTGTGAAACCCCGTCTCTACTAAAAATACAAAAAAATTAGCGGGCGTGGTGCGGCACCTGTAGTCCCAGCTACTCGGGAGGCTGAGGCAGGAGAATGGCGTGAACCCGGGGGGAGCTTTCAGTGAGCCTGGATCGTGCCACTGCACTCCAGCCTGGGTGACAGAGAGAGACTCCATCTCAAAAACCAAAACAAAACAAAACAAAAAACACAGAAGCTCGTGGAACAAGTCCTTGCGCCACTCCATGTCAGCTGTGCTGTGCCACCCAGGAACATGCCAGGCTCAGAGTCGTCCACCTGCCTTGCGTAAACGATGTCACTACTCGAATCACAGAGACTGAGATTCCCTAGCCCTCGCCATGTGCATGTCACTCACAAGCAGGCATGAGGACCCCCGCAATTCACAGGGAATCCCTCTGGCTATCCGGTGACCATCCATTCATAAATAAAAAGCATTAATTCCTGCTGGGTTGCAGAGGTGTACACATCAATACTTGTTACTGTTCACAAATGTTCCACTTGAGGATGGAGTGACGTTACAGAATTGGGAAGAACTTCACAGACATACGAGGGGTGCATTTAAGGAAAAAGTGTAAGGAAAAGTTGAGAAAATGGAATATCCTAACCTCTGTCTTTTCATCACCCTCTAAATACTACGATTCCAGTTCTGTTCATTCTGCAGTGAAAAATAACAAGTGATTCACACTTAGACACAAGGTGGCTTAGGAAGCTGTGGCTGTTTTACAAAGATGAAACGATTTAGATCAGGATTCCGTGAACGTACTTACTTAAAGAGAGAAGAGACTGGGAGTTACACATCAGCTTACCAAGGCTGCCCCGAAGTCCAGGAGCCCCTTAGGAGAACAGAGAATGTGCAGCCTCCACAGACCAACGCAGGTGGCTGGGCCCAAGAGTGGGAACACGGAGGCTGCAGGAGGCTTGCAGAGGGAGCTGTCCCGCCAGCCTCTCGCAGAAATTCCTAATTAAACCCTGACAGCAACTCTGTTTAGTGAATTGTCTCCTGGTCACTAAGAAGAGTGAAGCTGTTGAAAGCCTACAGCCAACCCTCTGGTTAACAGTTGAGATGTATTTTAGAGAAGGAAATCATCCTGTCACAATCCCAGACCTGCCAACAGCTGCAAGCATGTCCTGGGAGTGCGGCTTCTTGCTCTGTCAGCACCACAGCCCACCGTAGAGCCACACGGGTTCTGCCCGACGTTCCCACTTCAGGGAGTCTGGGCAGGTGCAGCTGAAACACCCAGGGGGCAACCCCCACCCCCACTTCTCAAAAGTACATGCAGAGGCAGACAGAATGAAACACGGCCCCCAAACCTCAGACGTAGGGTTCAGCAACACGGCCCACCATAGAGCCACATGGGCTCTGCCCAACGCCCCTGGGCAGGTCCAGCTGAAACAGCACCTGGGGGGCAACCCCCGCCCCCACTTCTCAAAAGTACATGCAGAGGCAGACAGAATGAAACATGGCCCCCCAGCCTCAGACATAAAGTTTGGCATGGGCATCTGTGAAACAAGAACAAAAGTCACATGGGAAAGTGAGTGCAAAAATGAAAAAAATAACAGAATTACAGTGAAGATGGATGAGATGGGGAGGATTGCAAGGAAGTTGAGAAAGGGACTGAGGACCTGAAGAGGCACCTAAGGGCTGGACATTCCCAAAAAGACAACAAAGACACCTCTGGATGAGGTGGGACATCATCTGCATTATGGAAATAAAGGGGAAAAGCCTGAAAACATCAGTTTCCTACGATGAAGCAAAAATCAAACTGGCTTCAGACTTCTCCTCTACAACACTGGATTCCAAAAGACAAGGATGTGGCATCCGTGGGGTCTTGAGGGAGAGCTGGCACAAACATGCCAGAGCTGCCGTCTCCAGGAGCAGCTGAAACAGCCTCAGATCCAGCAAAGTCTTGTCTTGAAAACTCTATCAGAGTACATCCCCTTATCAAAGCGGCGCATGGTTGCAGGAGGTGTGGTGTAAGGCGATTTAGAAATCCTACTCCGTGCAGACCCTAAACTTGGGAGTCCGCTGGTCACACCCTGGGAGGACCTCAGCCAGCGGGAAGCCCTGTGCCTCCTCTCTGCTCCATCTCTAATGGCAAGAAACATTTTACTCATAAAATTACGTTATTTCCAGTTTGTTAAATTGTATATATTAAGTCCATAAAGAGACTAAGAAAATGTATAAAAACATTGATGACTTCACGGTGGTATTATAACTAATTTTTAAACCAAACATGTTGTCTAAATTTTCCAGAATGAAAAAACACTCTTTTTAACAAGAAAGGTGCTTTTAAAGTCACCATAAACAATTATATATCCATCCTACGAACATGGTCTTAAAATAAAAAGTGAAGAGCAAAAACAGCAGAAGGAAGTGCATGAATATGTTGACAACGTTTATCTCTGAATGGGGGGGGCTGTTTTGCCTTCCATTTCCCTGTGTTTGAAGTGTCACCTCTGTAATGTAATAATAGAGCAGACACAACAGTCGAGGAAACACCGCTGCCCACTAGGACATAAACCGAGTCTCCTCCAAAATGCTGCGACCCCAACCTCTGATTTTATCTTTTAAATCAGCTAGGTTTTCTCCCCTAAAAAGAAGCATATTGTATCATTACTCTTTAAAGTTAGGTGACTTAACAGGCATACAGACTTAAACACCTTCTGGAAAGGTGACGTGTAAAGTTTAACTAAGATTTGTTTTGTTCTGAGAAGAGCAGGGGCACTTTCCTAGGTGAGGGACTCCAGGAAACACTGGCTGTGTCCGACGGGCCCTCACCTGGAGAAACAAGCACTCGACGCCTCCACCCTCCACCCAGACTCAGCAGGAAAGGGGTGCAGAGCTGAAGACAGACTCATCTATAAAAACCCCAAGGGCTGTTTCCAGGAGCTACTCACTGCCCCGTGCCCCGCACCCTGCCCCCCGTGCAGGTACCGGAGCTGCTGTCCAGCCTTTCCCAGGCTCTCCACGCCTCCTTCCACCCCACGCCAACCTGCACCACCCAACTCCCCACCATCTCTTACTGACCACCGGCCTCAACTCCCGCATAGCCTGGAAACTGCAAAGCTGCCTGGCAGCAAGAGGGGACGGGCAGCGAACGCACCAGCCAGGTGGCACCTGCTCCCACCAGACTGCAGGGTCACAGCGCCTGCCTCATGGAGCCGTCTTTAAGCACAAGTACAGCAAATCAATGCAGCTTTAGCTTTACTTTGATGCTAAATTAACTTTATAACATTTGGTTATAACATACATTAATTTTTACAGCAATTACTAAAATAACAACTCATAATACATTCATTTACCATATTCAGAAAAGCAACTGAAAAACCAAACACACAGCAGAATTTTATAGGACTGTAGTGGTTTTTGTTAGGCTGTCAAATAATTTTAAGCTCAAAATTAAAGTTATTAAATCTGTGACTCTCAACTGGGGTAGGTGGGCACACACAGAGAGGGGAAGTTAAAATCCTTTTTTTTCTTCCAAACCTCACACAGACCCACTCGGCTGGTAATTTCCATTGCTGGAATTATGTCCTGTTCCTTAGGTTAAAAACAACTGCCTTCATGCCTATTAAAAATAATGTTTCTTTCTTCCTTTCCTGAGTGATTGTGAAATGAGCCATGGTGGCCAGGTAGGCACGAACAGAGGGAAACTGTGCCTATTAAAAATAATATTTCTTCCTTTCCTGAGTGAATGTGAAATGAGCCATGGTGGCAAGGTAGGCACGCACAGAGGGAAACTGAGTCCACGTCCACATTTGATGGTGGGTGAGAACAGGGGGAAACTGAGTCCACGTCCACATTTGATGGTGGAACAGAGGGAAACTGAGTCCACGTCCACATTTGATGGTGGGCGAGAATGGGGAAACTGGGTTCACGTCCACATTTGATGGTGGGCGAGAACAGAGGGAAACTGAGTCCACGTCTACATTTGATGGTGGGCGAGAACAGGGGGAAACTGAGTCCACGTCCACATTTGATGGTGGGCGAGAACACGGGGAAACTGAGTCCACGTCCACATTTGATGGTGGGCGAGAACACGGGGAAACTGAGTCCACATCCACATTTGATGGTGGGCGAGAACAGGGGGAAACTGAGTCCACATCCACATTTGATGGTGGTGAGAACAGAGGGAAACTGAGTCCACGTCCACATTTGATGGTGGACAAGAACACTGGGAAACTGAGTCCATGTCCACATTTGATGGTGGGCGAGAATGGGGAAACTGGGTCCACGTTCACATTTGATGGTAGGTGAGAACAGGGGGAAACTGAGTCCATGTCCACATTTGATGTTGGGCGAGAACAGGGGGAAACTGAGTCCACGTCTACATTTGATGGTGGGCGAGAACAGGGGGAAACTGGGTCCACGTCCACATTTGATGGTGGGCGAGAACACGGGGAAACTGAGTCCACGTCTACATTTGATGGTGGGTGAGAACAGGGGGAAGTTGAGTCCACATCCACATTTGATGGTGGGTGAGAACAGGGGGAAACTGAGACCACATCCACATTTGATGGTGGGTGAGAACAGGGGGAAACTGGGTCCACGTCCACATTTGATGGTGGGCAAGAACAGGGGGAAACTGAGACCACATCCACATTTGATGGTGGGTGAGAACAGGGGGAAACTGGGTCCACGTCCACATTTGATGGTGGGTGAGAACAGGCGGAAGCTGAGTCCACGTCCACATTTGATGTTGGGCGAGAACAGGGGGAAACTGAGTCCACATCCACATTTGATGGTGGGTGAGAACAGGGGGAAACTGGGTCCACGTCCACATTTGATGTTGGGCGAGAACAGGGGGAAACTGAGTCCACATCCACATTTGATGGTGGGCGAGAACAGGGGGTAACTGAATCCACATCCACATTTGATAGTGGGCGAGAACAGGGGGAAACTGAGTCCACATCCACATTTGATGGTGGGTGAGAACAGGGGGAAACTGAGTCCACATCCACATTTGATGGTGGGTGAGAACAGGGGAAACTGAGACCACGTCCACATTTGATGGTGGGCGAGAACAGGGGAAACTGAGTCCACATCCACATTTGATGGTGGGCGAGAACAGGGGAAACTGAGACCACGTCCACATTTGATGGTGGGAGAGAACAGGGGAAAACTCGGTCCACGTCCACATTT